TTAAGTAAAAAATAAGGCTATAGAGATTTAAAAAAAAAATGCGTAGTCAAATAGCACCTGTAGAACGCACAGGACAACCCGTTCCTGAGAAGCCATTCATACTTTCTGTTTAGATTCCAGAGGAAGCATTCGGAACATTAAAAAAAAAAGTACAGATGGGAACCTGTTCAAATACGCTTTGGCTTTGCTTGACCTTGCACTGGGGTTTTAGGTGGGGTGAGCAATTTATATGCAAATCTGAAAATTCACTAAAAAAGCAGACATACACTTAAAATTAATTGACCTGATATAAAGCACAGAAGTCAAAAGTAATCTTCAGAAATGCTTCAGTGATCGGACAGTGAGGATCTGAGGCATCAGCTGGTGTGGCGAGAATACAAAGAGCCTCAAGGGTGAGAGGCTCAGCCAAGTCACGTTTCCAGACTCCGGAGGTCCGTAGGCCAGTCTCCAAATTGAGATTCTTTCCGTGGGTGGATATCAATTTATATGATTCATCCTCATGAACGGAGTATCTCTTATATTAAATGTTGTGGAAATCGGGAGAATGCTGCAGGTGTAACAGACATGCTTTGGGAAGAAACCTTCCTGGAAAGGTTCAGTACAACCAGTTTGGCAGGCAGTCCTTGATCTTTTTTGAGCTGGATTTTAAAAGGATAATAATTGCTCAACATGATTGTGCAAACATTTGGACATCTTCATGCATCTTTTTGAGTTTCCTGGTAATCCTGGGCTTTGTGGCTTTCCCAGAATTTTTTAACAGACATTAAGTTACATTAAGTCTTGCTTTCCATGGACAAATGAAGGGCCTTTCTGACCGAAATGATGAAATTTGTCTCTCTCTGTTTGTCTCCCTTTTTCCTTTTCCCCACCCAAGAGTTTCCAACGTACGGTTTTAACTGTGAGTTTGGCTGGGGCTCCCACAAGACGTTCTGTCACTGGGAGCACGACAACCACGTGCAGCTCAAATGGAGCGTGTTGACCAGCAAGACGGGGCCGATTCAGGATCACACAGGTAATGGAGGGTTCACTGTGGCCTCGTTTCTTCCAATCAGAAGCAGCGTTATGCCTGTGGAGGGTTGCCGGCTCTGTGAGTTTAGGGGGGTTAGAAAATTCTGCAGAGTATTCACTTGCGCTTTTATTTTCTGGAATTAAGAAGATGTCCTTTCCTAGGAGAGGGTCGTTTGGTTGAGAATGCTGATTCAATTCGGCAACTGATCGGCCTCTCTGAAAAATAGCCACTGGGCGAAGGAGTGTGTGTGAATTTGTACCTGTTTTTCTACTTCGTCTGAACTTTTTTCATGGGAAATTCCAAACATATTCCAACGGATTCAAAAGTAGAAAAGAAAGAGTCAAATGAACCCTCCAGAAACATAACTCAACTTCAACAATCACCAAATCACAGGGATCTTGGTTTCTCTCTCTCACCCTAACTCTGGGTGGTTTTGAAGCAAGTCCAGACATACAGGTGTCATCTCACTTACTCTGCAGCTAAGGAAGCCCTAAATGAGCGTAATGCTTCTCTCGTGACCCTTGGAGTGGAGGTGGCTTGGGGTATGGGTAGAAATCTTGTTCTTTTGAAGAAGATTGTAAATCTAGCCCACTCCCTCTGAGTGGGTAGAAACCTCACCACACCCCAACCCACAGCCCAACCCACCTCCTGTCTTCCTTTCCTCCTAAGATTAACTAGGCCTGGGGGACACGAACAGTCAGCCACTCCAGGAAACTCTTCGTCTAGCGCCATCTTGTTTCCCTCTAGTCATTTCTTCACCCAACTGGAGGAATGGAATAAAGAACCAGGAGTGTCCTGCAGAAACACACATGCGTGCACTCACACACACACACTCACACACCCAACCCACAAACTTCTCATCAGTGGTACTGACAGGACGGCTTACCCAAGTCACGGCTTCCCAGATGAGACCCCAGACGCACATTTGCTGGCGCTGGGAAATCTCGCTCAGCCGAGGCCCCCCCGTGCTGAGCGGGCCCGGGGATGGGCAGAGGTGCTTCCTGCCTTGCACACTTTGTTGTTCACACTTCTCCCAGTGAATACAGCCATTAAGTTGGTTGAATGGGCCTCCTCCCACCGCCGCCACCTCCTTTCCTAATGAGAATGACAAGGAAATTGGTTAAAATTGGACTCCTTCAATCGTGAGACACTTTCAATTGAGTCTTGAGACAGGCAGTTTTAGAAAACTTAAAATACTTTGACTGTAAGTGGCACTGAACATACAAAATGGCATCAAATTAACCAAATGCAATTAGCCGCCCCGAAGGCAGTAATGGTGGAAAAATGGATGTAAAGTGAAGCAAAATGGCTCAGTAGGATCTGACATTCAAAGGAGGTTAAAAGCTACGTTAGCCCGAGACAAAAGCTAAAAGGCTTGCAGAAGTACAGTGCTAATTGAGAAAGCCAAGAGCGGGTTCCTGACCCAGAAATGCGATAAAACCCCTGAAAGGAAAACCGCCAGCGCTTTCTGTGTCGGAGTGTCAGGAAGGGCGGCTTGTCTTGGATTAACGGCTGAGAAGTGCGGTTCCTTCAGAAGGCTGTGTCTCTTTTGTCCTCCCAGACACGCCGATTTACCCGGCACTGGCACCGGGGCTGCCCCCCAGCACTAGACACACGATCATTTGCCGGGAGGGGTGAGCCTGACATCCGAAAGGCAGGAACTTGTTTCCATGGGCAAGTCCAGGTGGAAGAAGCCCCCCACACCCACTCAGACTGACACAGACCGGGCGGCACTTTGCAAATCAGCTGTGGAGAATTCTTACATTTTAATTTTAGTTAAAATCTTGAAGGAATCCCACTTGGTTTTCTGCATTTGACTTCTAACAGTGAAGCTGTGTCCCAACTCACGGAGGATGCCCCAAGCCCGCATCCTCCCCTGCTTCATTGCACGAATGTTATCGAACTGCTGGCTTGTATGGGAGATGCTTCGGTGGTCACTGGAGACACAAGTGTGAGGGAGGGAGGCCCAAGCCTGGCGGCCTCACAGTCGGTTGTGGGTGGGAAACCGTCCAGCGCAGTGGAGCGAGGGTGTCCCATAGCAGTGGGGGCGGGGGGCAGCGGTGGCAGGAGATAGCCCAGGAGGGGGCAGAGGAGCTGGCCTGGCTCAGGGACCATCTCAGCTGAGCATCCTCAACTCCACTCTTCTCCATAAGATCTGGAGGCAGGGGAGTTTTTGTTTCTTTTTGTTTTTGCTTAGAGAGAAATAACCATTTTTTATTACCAAGAAGAGTTTCGCTCATTGTTGTGGCAATACTGTGTCTATTTAGAGTACAGACTTCTCCGAAAACAAATGAAAATAGGTTTCTTGGGTGACCAAAACTGAAAACCGCTGTTTCCACGTTTTGCTCATCAAGACAAAAGAAACAATTAAGAATATTTCACATTAAAATCTTGGCTGTATATGTGTTTTAGAAGGAAAATACCTGGAGGTGAAAATTACCAATAATTTCTGGGTTTTTTAAATTTCTCAACCATTAAGCCATGCGGTATTTATGAAAATGGAATTGTAAACACATTTAATGTCCAGAAAAGTCACTCTGTTCCACAGCGTGTTAGAACAACACGCTGACATTTTTTGTATCATAGTCCTTTGTCTTATGTTTTGCAGTGTTGTTAAACAATTCATAAAAGACTAGCAGGGCCAAGGTGGGTGTCTTACCTGCCCGCCTTGCTGGGCCGAGCGAGGTGGTACTATGACACGGACAGGTGGCCACCACCTGTAATCAGTGGGAGGAAACAGACCCCGGGGGTGTCCGAGTCTGCGTGGTCACAGAGGACACTCCCCAGAGACAGAGCATCACGTGTACCGCCAGCCCTGTGGTTTTAATTTCCACCCTCTTTTCATTATCCCGCCCACTGGTTTTATTAAGAGTACTCAGTACCGACCCAGACTAGCTGTCAGGTGAGAGAGGAAAGTGTCCCAGTCCACACGACCTGGGTGCTGCTGACACAGGACCTGCCCACAAGCGTGCAGTAAGCGTTTCTCCAGACACACCAGCCTCTTGGGTGGCACGTGGACCATCCCACTGCCCACTGAGGCCCCACATTCACGCTTACATCAGGTGCAGCGTTAGAGGCACATTTCTATTTGCAGAGCGAATGGGGAAATATGAGTCGTGTGTTTAGACCAGGTGGTGGCAGGAGGCAGGGCTCCCACTGGGGGTCATTAACAGTGGAGCCAGGAGTTCGTCCTCCAAGCTCAGCAAGCATGTCCGTTGCCAAAACGGCACATTGTAATAAGCCTCAAAAATGCAGCCTTGCCCCTCTCTGAACTGGCAGCCCACATCCAACAGGAGTGGGGCTCATAGTGGAGTTTCCAGCCCTCCGGTGTATTTAAGGAAATTTATAAGCTGTTAAAATAAACTTGGGGAGAATCATTGGAATCCAGGGGGAAAAAAGATGGCTAGGTTATTTGGGCAAACTGCAGCTCGGTTATTATCAAGCTATCCTAGTGACCAAAACATCACCAGCCAGAAGTCCTGCTGCTTCATAAATAAGACTACATCAAATTATCCCCTGTGCTCTGTGTTCACACGGGCGCTGCTGGAACAAGCTAAAAGTTGCACAAAAATAGGGCTTCCCGGACGTTCCATCTGCTTGCCGTGGTGCAGAGGCCAACCTGCACCGTGGCCAGGGGGCCGTGTGTTCCAGATACGGGGTGTCCCTCTCATGCGGCTTACAGCCTCCTGGGCGAACGTCCTCTCGCAGAAGCTGAGAGCAGAGCTTTCAGTGCCAACGAGGTTGGCATCAACTGCACACCTTCCCTTCCACTGCGTGGTTGGGTTCTGGTGCTCAGCCCCGGAGAGAAGGCTTGAGTAGCAGAACATCACAGGAAGGAGGCAGAGGGCATCTGCTGGGCCACCCTCCCTAACGCAGCCTTTTGTCACAGCAGGAGATGGGAACTTCCTGTACTCCCAAGCCGACGAGAACCAGAAGGGCAAAGTGGCTCGCCTGGTGAGCCCAGTCGTGTATTCCCAGAACTCCGCCCACTGCATGACCTTCTGGTACCACATGTCCGGCTCACACGTGGGCACGCTGCGGGTCAAACTGCGCTACCAGAAGCCGGAGGAGTACGACCAGTTGGTCTGGATGGCCATCGGGCACCAAGGGGACCACTGGAAAGAGGGGCGCGTCCTGCTGCACAAGTCTCTGAAACTTTACCAGGTGCGCCCCTTCCCTGGGTCCGGGAGGGCAGCTGCCTCGGGGATGCGGGGAGTGTGTCTGAAAGTTATGCAGATGAGATGTGGGAATCATGGAATGATGTCAGGTGTTTCCGGAACCTGAGATATTGCCACGAGGATGATAATCTTGGTAGCAGGGTTCACAGTCCCCAAGATTAAAGGCGTAGAATCAGTCTGCTGAGAAAGAGGGGGAAATGCTGCCCTGTAAATACTTCTGGGCTCTCACAATGAGCATTCCTGTTATGTGCTGCTTTCTCCAGTTTTACATTCTGTATCATACAAAGGGAGCATGATGGGCAGTTTTATGCCATTGCCATGTAGTTCATACGGATTGGAGAGCAAGCCACGTCCTTACAGGAAATCTCAAGAATTTAATATATGTGCTGTGGCTTGAGTGGGACAATTTTGCAAACACTGTTATTTGGGACCGAACATTTAAATACTGGGAAAATGATCTCATTAGGTTAGGTCAGGTGATTTTTTAAAAACCTGAAATAGAGTCAATTTACAATGCTGTGTTAGTTTCTGGTGTACAGCAAGGTGATTCAGTTACACACACGTATTCTTTCTCATATTCCTTTTCATTGGGTATTGAAATACACTGAAATGTGCATTGAATATGGTTCCCCGTGCTGTACAGCAGGTCCTTGTTGTTGGTCTGTGTTATATACAGCAGTGTGTATCAGCAAATCCCAAACTCCTAATTCATCTCTCCGCTTGTTAGGTGATTTTTGAGGGTGAAATCGGGAAAGGGAGCCTTGGCGGGATCGCGGTGGATGACATAAGGATTAACAACCACATCCCTCAGGAGGACTGCACAAGTAAGTGCGAGCGGCTGTGGGACCCTGCCCAGGGCACGCGTCCTCCCTGTGGTGGGCTCTGTCCTGCTCACTTAGACCTAGAATCTCAATGTGGGCTGTAGTGCATCCTGTGAAATGCATGTTCTGGTGCAACAGGGTATAAAGCCAGGTCTGTCTGCCTTTAGCTACCCCGTTACCTGGTTCACTTAGAATGGCTTAGAATGTTGGTGCCCAGAAAATGACTTAAGTAACGTGGAATCCAAAGATCATAGCGAGGAAGCAGCTCACGGTCCGCAGGCTGTGTACGCCGGGCCAAAGCACTGTGATGAAACGGGGGAAATGCAGACGTCTGGAGAACTCCAGATAGCTGAGTGTGTAAACAAAACAGCAGGCCTTTGAAATTTTTGCTCACAGTGGACTTAATGACTGTTCATGGGTCATGGACACCATCATTGTTCACTGTCTTACAAAGTAGATGTTTCTGACCCTGAAAACCGTTGAAATGACTCAGATACGTGAAATTTCGAGACTTCGCTAGTGTTTCGGAGGGGATGGATGTTATCGGTCTGGTGTATGTGGATAAAAGTCTGACAGTTCATACTCCCGGTTCTTGATATAAAATTATGAATAGCATCACTAATGGCAATGTAATAGCACACTAATTAGTCTTAAGCTCCACTGGCTACACTTAGACTTTTGTTATATATCATAATATAATAGGATGTTAATTATAGCGAGATGGAATCAGTCTGTTGGGCAAATTTAAGACAAAGGAGGCCTGTTGGCTATAATGGGTTTTTGGTCGTTCCAGCAATTTACAAAGCTTTTATTATACAATATATTGGATATACGTAACCCCTAAAGTGGCAATAATTTGATAGGGTCGCTTGAAGAAATTGGGGGAAGAAACAAGCAGTGAATAAAGGACTCCTTCTTTATATTATGCAAGAAAATCTATTTAATGTCACACTACTTAGCAGACCCTTCACCGAAAATGACAGGGCTTAATATTTAAGTTATGGCTACTTTACAAACGACCCACATCCACGTCTGCACAGTTGTTAAAATGGGTACTTCGGATAGTTACATGGTGCGTGTGTCACTGTTGCTTCTTCTCTGTTCCAAGATGAGAGGGAGATGACGTGATGGTTTTGGAATGTGAGCATGAAGTCCACCCACTGCAACAAGGGAGTCAGTTCACTTCAGCTCAGCAAGTCTTCACTGGCCACCTGCTGTGTGCAAAGCAGCATCCAAGTGCCACAGTGAATGTGCAGAGGCTGAGACAGGTCCACGAGCCTTTCCCTTCCACATGGCTGGTCCCCTCGGCCGTGGCTACTGCCCGGCACTGGACTCAAAGGCACAACTCAAGCACCCTGAAGACACTTCATGCTGCTCTCACAGTGAAAGGTGTCTAAGAGAAGTCTACAATTACTCGTCAGATACGTTTCCTTGAATATTTAGCCAGGGGTGCTGTGAGGTTTTCAGCTGTTTATTGCATTATTTATTCATGCATTAATACAACAAATATTTACTGAGGCACCAGATATGTTCCGGATACTGTTTTAAATGCTGGAGATATAACAGTGAACCAAATCCTTGTCCCCTGCTCAGAACACAAGGGACACCAGGACTCCATTTCTCCAAAAACCTTTTTTTGGGAGCCGAGGAGACACAGGACACGGCGTCTGGCCTTAGTTAGCGGACCTACTATATGGGAAGCCAAGGCTCATCGAGTTAGGGAGCACTTATCTACAAAAGCGCAAAACGGTAGCCACGTGGACAGCCCACTGCTGTTTTCTGTTTTTACCAGATATTCCCCCAGCCCAAAGAGCCAAAACCCTCTCTCTCCGCCCTGTTCTGCTCCTAAGACAACACAGTCTGCTACTGCAGGGCCCCCCGGACTTGGCTCTGGCACCCATTCCAAGGTCATTTAGGATTGCCTTTCCACTGCTGGCCGGTTACTCGGTGGGGTCAGATTGTGCTGAGAACTCCAGTGGAAACCCAGCAGAGCCATTAGTGATTGTGTGTGTGTGTGTGTGTGCGTGTGTGTGTGTAAGGGTTTATGTGTGTTGTGTTTGGTTGACTCTTCAAATATCTCTTTCAATTTTGTTTGACTTGTCAGAACCGGAAGACCTGGATAAAAAGAACCCAGAAAATAAAATGGACGAAACAGGTAAATTTGTCCTGCTGACCAAGTCTTAAAACCTTTTACTGTGGCTTTGTTTATATTTGGGGAGAATCTTTCTGGAAGTCTGGTGCCTTCTGGAATCAGAGCAATGCACATGAACTGAGCATCCCTGTCCGTGGGACTGGGCCTTGGACGGTCACCAGAGGGCCCCTCCTACCTGCTCCGCACACGGGGGCGGGGGGGGGGGGTCCCTGTGAGAGGCTCCGCCCTGTAAGCGGTGGAGCCCTGGGGACATGTGCCTGCCCTGGCCCTTCCCTGCCTGTGCTGGGGGAGGGACCTGGAGGACAGTGGGGTGAAACACTCTCATTTTACAGCTATGGAAACAGGAAACTCGTGAAGACTTTCTTTCCCAAAGACCTGTAGTAATTTTCATACAATAATTTGAAACCAGCCCAAGTTCTGGTGTCTGGTTGATATCCAGCTATAATCGTTAAAGGACAGGGGCCCAGTTTCTGTGATGATCTGTTGTGTTTTATCCATCTACTGCCCTCCTCCTCTAGTGAAAGTTTTTTTTTTCATTTTTTTTAAATTGAGGTATAGTAGATTTGCAATGTTGTGTTAGTTTCTGGTGTACAGCATAGTGATTCAGTTATACATATATATATATATATATATATATATTCTTTTTCATTATAGGTTATTACAAGCTATTGAATAGAGTTCCCTGTGCTGTGCAGTAGGACCTTGTCATTTATCTCTTTTATATACAGTAGTGTGTGTCTGCTGATCCCAGACTCCTAATGTGTCCCTCCTCTCCCTTTCCCCTTTGGTTTGTTTTCTCTGTGTTTTGTAAATAAGTCTGGTCATTCTTTCAGATTTCACATATAAGTGATATCATATGATATTTGTCTTTCTGACTGACTTCACTGATAATGGTGATCTCTAGGCCCATCCACGTTGCTTCATGGCATGAATTCCTTATTTTTTATGGCTGAGTAATATTCTATTTTTAGCATTATTTATTTTTTTTTTACTGAAGTATAGTGAGTTTGCAATGTTGTGTCAATTTCTGGTGTACAGCATAATGCCTCAGTCATACATGAACGTACGTATGTCTGTTTTCATATTCTTTTTCACCATAAGTTACTACAAGATATTGGATATAGTTCCCTGTGCTGTACAGTATGAACTTATGTTTGACTGAGTAATATTCTATTTTATGTATATATTTACATATATATATATATATATATATACACACACACACACCACAACCTCCTTCTCCACTCGTTGTTGGCAGACATTAGGGGGTTGCTTCTGTGAGACCCTAGTTTGGGGATGATGATGACATCACTGAGGAGGAGGAGGAGGGTTTACTGAGGAGCCAGTGTGCTCCAACCACTTTATGTGCATTGTCTTACTCAATCCTGACAGCCGCTCTTGGGGATATATTTATTCCCATTTCACAGATGGGGAGACTGAAATGCAGAGCAGTGACTTGGTCTTAGTAACACAGCTAATTAGATGGTAGCCTCAGACTTCAGACTGTGTTTCCATTGAACATTGCTTTGTGATCAAATGCAAGATGTTTGGTCGGAGTCAGGCCTTGCCCAATGTCATTTTATCCCAGACGTCTCCACCCCTCTCCCAGCAGTGGTGGGTGTTGGACATTTGCCCCAGCGGCCCTCGCAGCTGCTGCCTGCTGTCCTGCACGCTGTCCATCAGCCTGGGCACCTGCTGCCGTGAGAAATGTGGACCTGCTGTACCCAGACTTAGACTTGATAGAGAAAATAAACATGGTGCCTTACTGTGCGGCTGGTGATGTTAACACGTGGCTCATTTAGCTGAGTTACATCGTCCACACTGAGATGTAAACTTTACTAGAGGTTGTGTCAAAACAAAGTTGCATCGAGGGAGAGAATATTAATATGTCCCCATGGCTTGTTTTCCCCTGTTTAGGGACTTGCGTCTCATATTTTTAGTTTCCTTTGATTGGAACCCTTGTTGATCAGAACACCATTAAGCAAACACCATGCCTGCTGCACATTAACATTTTAGTCCATTTCTAGTACCAGGTAATTAGGCTCAAAGCTCCCCTGTTAATAATTTCTCATGTTCCACTCTTAAGAAAACATTTCCCCAGTGCCTGAAGGCAGAGGTGCGTGACTGTCTCCAGCCAAACCACCAAGGCTGCAAAGCTGGGGTCACTGGCATCACACCCGGCTGCCAGCAGTGTTTGATGATGGCAGTTTTCTGTACGAGATCACAGCACGAGGTTTTGGACAACACTGGAGAATGGGAGGAAACCCGACAGTATGGCTTTGCAGACAGGGCTGACTCGCTGTACACCGGGTGCTGAGACTGTGGTACTAGGAAGAAGACATCCCACTCCTCCTCGGTTATTAAACGTGTTCTGTGCAGCACAATGCTCGTCAGGCTCAGACGCCTCTGCCGGGCCGAGGGTGATCTAGCCTTTCCCGGGTTCTGAGCGTCTGCGGCCCGACAAGTCTGGGGATCCTAAAATACCTGTCAGCTACCTTGTTTCCTGGGGACCACCGCGCACACGGATTCCCTGGACATCATGGCCCCTGTTGCTTGTGTGCGGAGTGAAGAGCAAGCCGAGAGCCAGGAGTTCAGGTGCAGCCAGACGGGCTTGGGATGGGAGGGGACCCAGGCCAGCACTTCTACCAGCCAACTTGAGGCCGGGAGCGCCCTGGACCCAGATCGCCCCCCAACCCCCGACAACCCCAGCATTTTATTGAATTATCAACCAATCAAGCAAAAGGGCTAGGGTGGGGGATCGTGGGAATGGCGGGGAGAGGGGTGGTGGTTAGTTATGACTGGTGACTTTTAAAGCATTAGGGGCGTTTAGCTCTCAGAAGGTGTGGGGCGACCATCCATTTGCGCGTCTGCCTGGCCCGCGTCACCATGGCTGTCGTGGTCACCAGGTACTGCCTTTTGCAAGCAGCTGCTGTGTCTGCTGCCCTGTTCATATAGCAACACCTCACTTTTGCTCTGCCTTGTGATTCTAGTTTCATTTCAGAGCCACTAGCCTGCCTCAGCCTTACATGTGCTCTCTTTTTATTGTAAAAGCTCAAACTACTTCCACTTCCTCCCTTGACAGCAATTGATATCTGGCCATTTTTCACTGGATTCCTCCTGTGGCCTTTTGATGGGCAAGGAGACAGATCAAGAGTCTGACACCTTGTCCGGCTGGCCGGACCAAGCCTCCCGGCAGCATGACCAGGGCTCCTGGGGCCATCCTGGTCTCATTCAGTCTCCTGCTGCAAAAGCCAAAATACAGAGCGGTTGGCTTGCACCCAAAGTTGTCTAGTTAGCCATCCGCAGATGGGGGCGGGTGTGCCGTGAGGCGTAAAGAGGGGGAGGGGTGCAGGGTAAGAGTTTCCGGCGGAGCTATTGCTGTGGGATCTAGATATGAAAGCGGGAAGCGGGGGAAAGGAAATTTTGGCTCAGGGTCCTCGGGTGGGAATTTTGGACAGCACGATCGGGCCTCCCGCGTGGGCGCCAGCAGTCCTCTGGTGCTCAATGTGCTTCTAGGTGCCGGCATTGGCATCTCCAGTGGGTCTGGCATCGGGCCCTCTGGTTTCTTTCCGGGTTTGGGGTGTGGTCCCAGCAACCCCCTGGTGATCCCTGAGGTCCTGAGTGTCGGCCTTTGTTTCTCCGTCTCTGGGGATGTCTGGTTCTTTCATTCTCCGCTGGGTTGGAGGTTTGTTCCCTCCCTCTCCTGCGCTGATGGGTCTGGGCCCGAGTTCTCATTTGTTACGAGAGGGGCACTGGGCTCGGCAGCCGCCGGCCACCACAGTCCAGCATGCCGCCGGGGGTCCATCCAACCCCCTCGGGGGTTTTCATTAATAGATGTCCTTTCCGTCCATCCAGGACTGGGACTGGGCCCTGCCAAGGCTCATGTGTGATATTTCTCCAGAGCACATCCCCGGGGGCGCCTGTATGCAGGAGGCCTCGAACTTCCTGGCCTGCAGCTCGTACTCTGATGACAGGCGGGTGACCCAGGTCCAGCACTGGGAATGCCTGGACTTGAACCCATCTGATGGGGGCTGCGCCAAGTATTGTGAGGTGGGCGTGATCCCCGGCACGCATGTCCCAGTCAGATGATTGTAATTTTTAATTGGAGAATAACCTCAGTCTGAATCCCTGGGAATAGCCAATTGTTTCCTGTGTCAAAATTATATTGAAATAGTCCAGGCCTGACATCAAGGCAGCCAGTAAGCCCTGGTGGGATATTTAGACTGGCCCCCGGGGGACGGGGGTGACCGCCCCGTTTCCTGGCAGTCTCTGATCAGTGGCTGTGACGAGATCAAGGCAGCTGGCCCCGTATATTGTGGGCCTCGAGGAACGGGCGCCGGGTCGCAGGGCTCGCCACGTGAGGGCTATGGCAGGGGTGTCCCCAGGGCAGACGAGGACTTCTTCCTCTGAGCCATCCAGGGGACGGCCTCGGGGACTAACTGGCCCTCCTGCTGCCCATTTTTTGCTAGCTTCTCGGGGCACCGGGCTGCCCAGTGACCAGGTGTTTGGCAGATGGGGCGGGGTGTTTTTGGCCTGACAGTGGGGTCAGGCATGGTTTTCTGCCTGTATCTTGGCGCCGACTAGAGCATTCATTTTTCCAGTGCCCACCTTGCCCAGGGCCCTTTTGGTTGGGGACCTCTGGGCCTAGGACCACATTGGCCGGCCATGGTGGCTGTTAGGGCCTCCACGAGGGCCATGTCGTCAGGATGGATCTCATTCGCAATCTGAATTTTGTCAGTTAGGCCCCCCTTTGTTTGCCCTCGATAAGTCAAGGTGCTGGGAATGGGTTTGATGGTGCTGGTAACTGGGCTCCTCTGTGAGACTCTTTTGGGCCCCTGGGTCGGAGGTGACCTGGTCCCCCGCCTTTTGCAGCCTATCCAGGAAGGTCGAATAGTCCTCCTTGGGGGCTTGCAGGACCTTGGCCAGCCTCCCGGGGACCTGCCTGGGGCCAGCGCTCCATGGCCTCAGTAACCCCGTCCTGATAACGTCGGCGAAGAGCTGCACTGGGGAGGGGGTGCCCACGCTGGTCATTTTCCCTCCCTCACTTGGCTGCCGTCTATTGTTGAGCATTGGTCGGACTGGTAACCCATCGCTCAATTCGCTCTTGGATCAGGCTGGTGGCCATCGCCATTTGTACCAGGTTGAGAACGCCCCTGAGCAGGTGCCTTAGATCCTGGCCAGTGGGGTTGTGGCATCTATGATGCCCAGGAGGCCTTGTACACACCCTGGGCTGCCTGGGCCATATATCTTTATGGTCTTCAGCTCTGTTATCGGCCTGGGTGTTCCAAGTACTTGCGGTGGGAGGCCCTGGGCATCTTGGGTAACTGGAAAGGCCTGAGTGGCAAGGGCCTTCCGGAAGGAACTGGGGTTACTATTCCAAATATCCCCATCCCACTTCTCCGGATCTGTGTCTCTGAGGCTCGGGGAGGGGCTCCCTGGGTTCCCTCCTTTTGTGTGGAGCCACGGGCAGGGTGGCCTTGGTGTTTGCCTCTTCCCACACGGTCTTGGCCTGAGGCACTAGTGGGAGGTCTTTATGCCTTCTCTTGTTTTTAAGCATTTGGGTTGTTCTCTGCCAATTGGAGGGTTCCAGGGCACCCTCACTGGGGAACCACCCCATTTTATTTAATTTTTTCATCCAGGACTCAGTTGTCCCCTTTGCATAATTTCCATATCCCGAGCGGTCTTTGTCGGCTATCACGTCTTCCAACAAACCCCGTGTACGGTATGCCCCGCTAGACTGGGGTTTGGATTGAGTTTTTCCCGTGGTAAATTAAAGAAAGTGCCTTAATTCCTCAGACTGGTCGGGAGGGGAGTCGGGAGGGGAGTCCGGGGCCTGTGGATGGGGCTCTGGCCTCAGATCCTGGGGTGGGCTGCCAGGGGGTCTGACGCATGACGGCTGGGGCTGCTGTGAGTGCAGGATGGCTCAGGCTTTTCCCCACAGCACCGGTAACAGCACAGCCACTGCTCTCCCGGCAGCAAAATTAACAGGATGAGTGTAACAGGCTGCTGGCCGCCGGGCAGCCGCCGGGAAGCCACGTTTACAGTATTTAGGATCCATTTCAGTTGCATTGGTTGCACTGTAGTTTGTGCAACCCCATAAGTTGGTCAAACTGTAACTGGCTATTGTCTGGACACCGAGGGTGTCAGGACTAACCTGGCGCCACCGCAGGCAAGCCCAGTAGACCAAGGCCGGAGCTACCAGACAGCTGCGGAAGGAGGGAGGCAACAGGCCATCCCCGTAAAGCCCGGGAAAAAGCCCAAGATCCCAGATGCCGGAAGGTGCTCCTCACCGGGGCGCCGCTCGTCAGGCTCAGACGCCTCTGCCGGGCGGTCAGGCCCTTCCCGGGCTCCGAGTGTCTCCGGCCCGACAAGTCTGGGATCCTAAAAAACCTGTTAGGTACCTTGTTTCCTGAGGCCCACCGCGCACACGGATTCCCTGGACATCATGGCCCCTGTTGCTTGTGTGCGGAGTGAAGAGCAAGCCGAGAGCCAGGAGTTCAGGTGCAGCCAGACGGGCTTGGGATGGGAGGGGACCCAGGCCAGCACTTCTACCAGCCAACTTGAGGCCGGGAGCGCCCTGGACCCAGATCGCCCCCCAGCCCCCGACAACCCCGGCATTTTATTGAATTATCAACCAATCAAGCAAAAGGGCTAGGGTGGGGGGTCGTGGGGATGGGGGAGAGGGGGTAGTGGTTAGTTATGACTGGTGACCTTTAAAGCATTAGGGGCGTTTAGCACTCAGAAGGTGTGGGGCGACCGTCCATTTGCGCGTCTGCCTGGCCCGCGTCACCATGGCTGTCACGGTCACCAGGTGCTGCCTTTTGCGAGCAGCTGCTGTGTCTGCTGCCCTGTTCCTACGCGACGCCTCACCTTTGCTCTGCCTTGTGATTCTAGCTTCATTTTGGAGCCACTAGGCTGCCTCAGCCTTACACAACCCAGATTCCGCTCCTAGATTTGAGTCCTGAGCCAGTTTAAATGTCAGCAGTAAGCATCCCTTTGTTCTGCAAGATCTCTCCTTCTTGAGTGAAACCACCGCAGACCTGGGGGGAACGTGTTTGACTTGAAGATTTTCCATGGGGTGACCTGGAGGGGCAGCTGCGCGGGCTCCTCGGGCCCGGCTGGGGAATCGGGCAGACTCACCGGGAGTGGTGGGCTCCTCGGCTCGACAAACGTGTGACGGAGCATTTTGCAAAGCTTACAGACCGTGTATCTGGCCGAGGACAGTAAACCCAGATCACAATCTCACAGGTGGCAGGCTGCATGAAATCTGAATTCGATTAGAACATAACCGTCACCGTTTACCCAGCATCAGTGGTTTCCATGTGCTCAGCTCTCTGTTCGAATCACAGCACCAGCGCCCCAGTCCCCTGCCTGCCCATGCTGGGACTCCCAGTGATCAGTCAGACATCACCAACGTTGGTGTTTCTGGGCGATGGGGGAGCCAAACCCCAGGACAAAAGCCCCCCGAGGCTCCTGGGGGAGCACAGCCCAGGCGGGACCTGAGCTTCTTCCCTTCTTGTCTGTGTCCCTGCCCGCTGCCATCAGGTGGCATCAGGTGTGCTGGCAGTGCTCACCAAGCTAACTTTGTCTTTCTCCCCAGGGAGCACCCAGGGCTATGAAGGCGTGGGAGAAGGTGAGGAGAAGATCTCCAGGAAGCCAGGCAGCGTGTTGAAGACCCTGGACCCCATCCTCATCACCATCATCGCCATGAGTGCCCTGGGTGTCCTCCTGGGCGCCGTGTGTGGGGTTGTGCTGTACTGCGCCTGCTGGCACAACGGGATGTCGGAGAGAAACTTGTCCGCCCTGGAGAACTATAACTTTGAACTCGTGGACGGCGTGAAGTTGAAAAAAGACAAACTGAATTCACAGAGCACGTACTCGGAGGCGTAAGGGCAGAGGGAGGTGACAAGGTGCGTGGGGAGCGGAGGACGAGCTGGGGCATGCGGGGCGGCTGGTCTCTCACTGCTCAGGCTGGGAAGCGCGTTGATGACGCCAAGCCAGATTTTCTCAGGAGCTGCAATGCGTTTGGCTGACAGACATGAACGACTTCGCCGTGTTCACAATCGGAATCATGACCAGTCAGCCTCTTTCTGTGGGTTTCATTTGAATAATCAAATGCTGGTGTGGAGACCAAGGATGATGGACTTAATCGTTCATTTTTGACTCCCCCTCCCCCTTTTCCCTTCTCTCTCCTCTTCTGGATTCTTCTCGGAAACTGTGCAAAATCCAAGATGCTGGCACCAAGTGTATTCAGTGGGGCCCTTTGGATGGACATGCTACCCGTAGCCCAGTGCCCAGAGTGTATCCGAAAAAGCGCATTTCAGTGCATCCTGAAATTGTCCTTGTGTGGAAGTGCCCGCGTCGTGCGCAAGCCGAGGAGGAGTGCGATGTCTTCTTTCCTAGTGCCGCAGCCTCAGCACGCAGTGTACAGCGTGTCAGCTCTGTCTACGAAGCAATACCGTCGGGTTTCCTCCTCATTCTCCAGTGTTGTCTGGAACCTCGTGCTGTGAACTCCGTGCAGAAAACTGTGCTGTCACCAAACACCGCTGGCAACTGGGTGTGATGCCAACGACCCCCAATGAAAAGCCCTTGGCACTGGCTAGTCTGCGTCCTCTCAAGTGCCTTTTCGTTTGTGCCGCTTCTCATTGTGTTCCATGAACCCGCCCTGTCTCCCACTGTTGAAAGCCCTCCCCTTTCATCAAACCCTGGCGGCCCCCTGACTGAGAAGAAAGTATATTTTAGTGTCAGATGCCAGCCTCCGGGAAGGCAAGGGCTCCGAAGATTTGGCAACGTGGCTTACTTGTTCTGGCTTTTTCCGTAGTTCAATTTCTTGTCTCTTGACCCTTTTGTATAAAGCTGCAATATTCTCTCTTACTGTTCTTTCATATGGAATGTATTTTCAAATGTAATCTCACTCTCTCCCTCCCCTCTCTCTCTCTCTCTCTCTCTGTATTTTTTCTCTCTTAGGATTTAAGCATTTGCCATTATCCAGAAAAGAAACTTGCAGCTTTAACCTGCTGGGAATGGCAAACAATTTTACTAGACTTTATGTTTGAAAATAAATAAGGGAAATGCCTAACTTTGCCCTCCAAAGTCTAACTTTGGTTTTCTCGTTAACTGGTTAAAGCAGCAGTATCTTTTTTCCTTAAGCCATCTGTCGGTCTATTTCAATCAAAATGATCTTTGATAGGAATGTCTGCATTTAATAGAAAGTGATACACTGAAGGAAGAAATAATACTAATTGGCTCTCAAGTGAGACCTAAAGGAATAAAATTCTCCCCAAATCCAAAAATATGAGATTTTTCCATCCAAATACACAAAAGTGACCCATGAGAATCTTCTTGTTTTGATATTGAGTCAGACAAGGGAAGTGGAAGAAAGAACAGTTAATTTAAGAATGCAACTATAAATCCTGGTGCCTGGGAATGAATTATTTTAAGATAAGAGAGGGGAAGAAAATGAGTAAAGTCAAAATGATGTTTTTAAAAATCCATTCAACAGCATCCCTGAAAAAAACATTGACTTGAACGAGTGCGTCTAGAAACTTCCAACGGCTGACAAAGAAAAAGCCTGCCTTGGGGCTGGCAAGACCTCAGCCTCCAACGGCACCCACCGAGAAGTAAATATCTTATCAGGCAGCATTGAATTCACCCAAAGAAGTGCTGGTCGTTTTCCATGCATTTGTGTCCTGCTGTGTTGTATGTAAGAGCTCAGCTCTTCCTGCCTTCCTGCACAGCAATAGGACTCAGTCAGATAAGTTAGTGGGAGTCCCATTTGCATCATGGAGGGAAAGTCCATTCATCCTGGTTTAATTGGATTGAGAATGCCTTTTGTTTCCAGGAAAGTATTGATCGCTATGAAAGAATAGAGTCTCATCCCAGAGGCATCCATTCAGCCGTTATAATCATACCAAGACAAAAGTAAGACTTGATTTTTTTTTTAAGGCCACAGACCTAAAGTTGTCCTCAGCCAAGGAAAAATGATACTGCAACTTTAAATTTTAAAGTATCTTGCACTGATAAATATATTTAAAAATTATATGTTTATAAAGTTATTAATTTGTAAAGGCAGTGTTACAAAATGTTCAGTTTATATTGTTTTAGATTGTTTCGTAATTTTAAAAGGTGTAAAATAACATATTTTTTCTTTATTGAAATCTATAAAACTTTCTGTAGTAAAATGTTTTCATTTTACTGTTATATTATTGCTTCATGTTTTGTACCATCATAAAATTTTGTGCAAATTTTTTTTACAGAAATTTTTATTTTCTATGACGATACGACACTTGTAAATTGTTGTTTCAAAATGAACAGCGAAGCCTTAACTTTAAATGACATTTGTATTCTCAGACACTGAGTTGCATTAAAAAAAAAACACATAGAACTGAACTGTAACTTAAATTCCAAACTATGACTACTACATTCCAAAGAAACAGTTGAATTAAACATTTTCATAAAATATCCCAAACCTGATGGCTTTTATTATATTAGCTTTTTTATTGTTAAAGAAATTGGTATTATTCCAGCATCAAATAACTTTCAAGATTTTTTTTAAAGTTCTCTTTTAAAAATAACATCCTAATAAGGAGAGAAGATTAAGAAGACATTTCCTGACAGTGAACTATCAACCCAAATTGGACACTTGTCAAGATAAGGCACAATGAATTTGGCCTTATACATGGAAATTTTTCAACTCTAAGTCTTGTGTCAAACATTTCCATATTCCACTTGGTAAAGTTTTCTTTAATGAAATTCCCAAATATCTGTTGGTAAGTTTTTTTCTCATAGAAAATAGGTAATAAATCTGACAATGTTTATTCCAGCACCCTTGCTAAATTTAGTTGCAGGGAAAAGTTGAGCATAGCATTGCTATTAGCTTCCTAAATCTTAGGAAAAAATTGATTCCATCTGGAACCAAAATAATAGTAGTGGTAATAATAATACTAGTAGTAAAAGACTAGATAGAGAATTGTGGAGCCAAAGCCCGCTCCTTAGGAGAGCAGGGCAGGCCCTGGAGAAAGCTGTTACCACACAACTGGCTGCCCCCATCCCATCGCCCACAGGCCAGCCGGCCTCCCCTTAGCTTCCTCTGACTGAAGGAAAACTTAATTCTGAAGCACAGGGACTCCGGGAGGGGCCAGCTGCTCAGCACAGCTCTTCCCGCTGAATCAATATTCCTGCTTTTCTCTAGACACTGACACCTTTAGCATCTTTCAAGATTTAACCAAGAAGAGGACGTTTTTCCCTCCTCAGTGGCTGTTTCGGTTCCTCTGCTGAGCGAAAAGAAGCAGAGATACAGTGAGAACTGGGTCATCACTACACCAAATTTAAATTTTATTTCTGTTCATGGGAGTTTCCAAAAACCAACACGACTTCCGAGGAGTCTCTCAGAATTAGTCCCAAGATACTTTCCGAAGAACACTGAGGACCAGAGATTAATGTTTTGTGCTTCATTGTTTGAGAAGACCTTAAACAGAAATGCTTTTCAACCATTTCTTATCCCAAGTGAGCTGCTAAGCTAGGCTCTTTCTCCCTTGGTTTAATGAGCTGAATCACTGTACAATACTTCTCGAAGTCAGGAATTAAATATGTCATGAGGATTGAAACATTTAACTTAAGACATGAAAATTACATATTGTTCCATCTCCTGCCTTCCTTGCTAACATATTAATTGCCCCTTGGGCTGGACTGCACTTTATCTTTGTGCAAATCAAATGGCTTTTGTAACATTCCAGAATGTTTCTGCTTCCCAAAGGTAATTAGAGCTGCTGTGTTGCATTAGAAAACAGTGTTGCATTAGAAACCAGTTCCACCAAGAATTAGCTCCATTTCCCCAAACTCTGTCCACTGGGGGGTCTTCAGCATCTTCTCAGCTCGGGGCTGGGGAAGCCGGAAGGAAGGGAGCCTCAAACCGAATAGAACTTGGCACCAAGAAGCCCGCAAGACCAGGATGCTCACTGACTTCTGTTGTTGTTGTTGTTCTTAAGAAACCTTGCAGGATGACTCAGATAAGAGCATCATATTATCACACACCTGTCAATTCTTGGCAATAAAGTTCCCACGAACCAACTCTATCATTTTAGGAGAGAAGGCATAAACCATCAGAATCTTCTAGAATGATGATGCTACACTTGTGCATGCTGCAAGCACTGGCTATTTCCACAGCAGCTCTGTGAGCCATGTTTTGTCATTATTCCACTTTATAAGTGAGGACTCCAGAGTTTAGGTCGGTTGAGAGGTGAGTTCAGGATGTATCTGGTCTCACCTCCCCCACCATCCCTCCTACCCAGCCATAAGCCGGCCTGTTTTTTTTTTTTTTTTTCCATCTGGGGACATGAGTTGAATGAAAAAAAAAAACAAACAAAAAAGCTTATACATTAGAATGGAGCAACAGATGAGTTAACATGTGGTTGTCAGCTTATCCGTATTACGTTAACTACGTGCATTCTGCAAATCATAGAAGATACAGTTAGGGATGAAAGGAGAAATTAAGGATTCAAAGAGCTCTTCATGGTTATATTTCTTGACAGTCACCTACTCTGTCTTCCTTCCTGTGTTAGGGCCACTCCACAGCTTCACAGAAAACCCAAGTACGGATGTACTGAGGACTTGAGCCCAGGAGACAGCCTCTCGGGTAGCCCTGGGACTGTTCCAAAGAGGTAAGGGAGGAGCCAAGATACACAGGAGTTTTGCAAAAACAAAACAGGTAGTTGAACATCAAAAGATTTCTGCTAATTAAAGAAAGAACAAACATCTCAAGTTAACGAATTTGGCACTTTTGTATGTAAGGGAAGATGCAAGAGTCTGGGCTCACTGAAATCCTCCCTTTGATCTGCACCTTCGCTGCCCAGAGCCTGTATTCTGCTCTTCTCCATCCTGAGTCCCCTCAGGGGGCGCAGCTGGGGGAGGCTGGGGCTGCTGACGGCCAGTGTCGTTTGTTTACTGATACGGCAGGGGACATTTTTCATCCACACTTACGACAACTCTGGGTCACGTATTGTTACCATCATCGTCCCCGTTTACAAAGTATGACCCTGGGCACAGAGAGGTTAAGGAACTAGACCAAGATGGCGGGGGGGACCAGTGGAGGCAGGATTCCGAGACAGCAGTCTGCCTGCAGGGTCCTGTGCTGTGGCCCCCTGTCCCCCTATGCCATTCCAAACCGGAGATCCCTCCTCACTCTTCTGCTGACTTTCCAGATCCCGAAGTAAAAAATCCTCCCCTTTTTTGGCACTGAGCACATCAGCATTCTTTGTCTTGTCCCAACCCAACTAATCCGCTCTCTAAGGCGAGGCATAGTCTTGGGTCTCTGATTAACATCTTTTGTTTGCCCCTCCCATTGCCTTTCTTGGGACGAACCTTTCTCACCTAATTCCTGCTCTCTCTGAGCAAGGTAGGCTTCCTCTGCTCCAAAGCCCAGGTCAGCCAACAGCTACCAAGACACAAAGGAAGGGATGTCCCCTCGCCCATAACTGCAACCAGAGCATCACCCACCTCAATCTGAATATAGGCATTTTGATTAAAACTAACACAAAGCCATGTTATCCATTATTTTCGACCTGAAAATGTGCCATCCCCTAGTTTATTACAAAAGGATTAGACCTCTACCAGTGTTTTCCACCATGAGGAAAGAGATCAAAACACAAAGGCGGTAGCCACTTGACCAGATTCATCCAGACCTGTAGTGGCCAAGGTAGGCGTGAAACACAGCCCCTTCTAGAGAGACCTGACACCTGAAATTCACCCCTGTTGGTTTTAATCTCCTGGTGCACGTCTCCCTGTCTGAGCAACAAAGCTACTCTCTTTCTGTGCAGCTCCTGGAGCTGCTAGTGAGACTCAGAATGGAGTGGGGAACAAAATTTCAGAAGATGCCAGGAGAAAATTCAGGGATTCTGGCATATTAAACCATGGAGAGGTGATCATCCAAGTTCCTGGCCTCCTTAGAGGCTCACACCCCATTAGCTCCTAGAGAAATGGTATCAGAATATGACGCAGTCTCAGTGGTACTGAGATTTGTCATTTCCTCATAAGTAACAATGGGTTTTTTTTAATTGATTAGGTGCCAAAGCGTCTGCATGCTATTCTAACACCTAAGGATAAAATACATTCGTGGGTTGAGTGCTCTGGGGAAAGCTCTGGAGTGTGCAGTCACCATGCGCACTGCAGGGCGGGGTCTCTGGATGGTGCCACAGGCGTTTCCACTCCCTGGTACAGAGAGCCTCAGAAAACCAGCCGGGGGGGTCTCACCCCAAACACGAAGGAAGGAGGAACAAAACGTTGTAGAGGTAACTCGGTAACTGAAATTCCTGGGCTGATTGAGGAAGACAAAGAGGAGAGAAGAGCCCTTCACCAAAAGTCTTTGGTGGAATCTTAGTTACTTAAGACACTTTCGGAAAAAGGAGTCTGTGGACTATTGTTTTCGGGAAATGCTATATACAACTACCTTCCTCTTGAAGAATCACAGCTGCTTTCACTGTTTACAACAGCCAAGACATGGAAGCCACCTACATGTCCCTCAACAGACAACTGGATAAAGTTGTGGTGTGAACACACACACACACACACACACACAGATGGAGTACTGCTGAGTCATAAAAAAGAATGAAATCATGCCATTTTCAGAAACATGTATGGACCTAGAGATTATCATACTTGGTGAAGTAAGTCACACAAAGAAAGACAAACATATGATATTGCTTATATGTAGAATCTTAAAAAACAATTATACAAATGAACTTAATTGCAAAACAGACTTATGGTTACCAGAGGGGAAGAGAGGGAGGAATCAATCAGGAGTTTGGGATTAACAGACACAAATTACTCTATATAAAAGAGATAAACAAGGTCCTACTGTAGAGCACAGGGAGCTAGACTCAGTATCTCGTAACAACCTACAAAGCAAAAGAACATCTGTGTAACTGATCACTGTGCTGCGCCAGAAACTAACACGGTGTATAAATCAACTACACTTCAATTTTTTAAAAAATCACAGCTGCTTTGATACACTAACAACACTTTAATCTTTTGCTGAGAATGCCCCACACTTATTTACTCCTGGAAAATATTTTGTGTGCAAGGCTTTGACAACGTCCCCATTCTGAGAAGTGGTGAGAGAGAGAGAGAGAGAGACTGAGAAATAGATCTGGTTGCATGAACACAAGACAGGAACATGAGGCCAACTTATGGTTGGAAATGTTGCCCCAAGATGTGAAGTGGTCCTTGGATCCTTTGTCCTAGGTGAGCAAATGAAGGACTGAGGAAACCTAAACGAATGATTGATAAAGAGGACGGACACATACAGGGACCTTGGAGAAGAACTCTCGATCAGAATTTACAGCATGTTTCCCATTCTCTTCTCTCAACAAATTCTTCATGCTAATGAGCCTGGAATTATCTCCCACGATCCTTCCCGTGCTTCATCACCCTTGATTACCTCTGGTGTGAGCTCGCAGCCTCAGGTTAA